AATCTAAATTACATTCGTCAGAATCAGGGTACGCTCCTTGCAGACGCATATCAAGACCTAGTGGACTACGTCAATCAACAGCTACACGTGGATGCACCTGACCCCTTGGCCGTCGGCCGTAGGGTCATTTTACCGTCAACGTTCGTTGGAAGTCCGCGTTAAATGAAACAGTGTTAACACGACGCTATGGCCGTTGTGAGAAAATACGGTAAGCCTGACCTGTTCATTACTTTTACATGCAATCCTAGATGGCCAGAGATCAGGGATAACCTAGGTACACACACTTCGGCTAATGACAGGCCTGGCATGGTGGCCCTGGTGTTCCACGCTAAACTTAAGGACCTCATGCGTGACATAACGGTTAATAGGATTTATGGAAATGTAAATGCTTATATATACACTGTTGAATTTCAGAAACGCGGTCTACCACACGCACACATACTGATCATCCTCAGGGACGACGGTAAGTTGCTTGATGCCGAGGATGTCGACAACGTTGTGAGTGCCTCCTTACCAGACCCGACGATTAATCGGCGTCTGCATGACTGCGTTGTGTCTCAAATGATTCACGGACCTTGAGGACCAATAAACCTCAACAGTCCATGTATGGTGGATAACAGTTGTTCAAAAAAGTATCCAAAACCATACAGTGATGAGACAGTGTTCGTCTCAGATGGTGGCTATCCCATGTACCGTCGTCCAAACGATGGTCGGGTGATCCTTGTCAGACAACGAGAGGTTGGTAATGAGTTTGTCGTTCCACACAATCCGTATCTGCTTGCCAAATATGACGCACACATCAATGTTGAGGTGTGCTCTACCATTAAGAGCGTTAAGTACCTTTATAAATATGTCTTTAAGGGTCACGACGCTGCTACATTGGCTATACAAGAAGGCGATGAGTTGTTAAGGTAAGCACATTCAATAATTTCTTCTTTTCACACGCAGAGTCTTAATAGCATTATTGTTTGCGTTAATAAACATAATAATTATACTATAAATTAATAATTACATAAACTATACCCACTTGACAGTGTACATAATA